ATTGATTTTGACCGCAATTCGAGCTCAGGACTCTGGGTTCTGAGGTCGACGTTCTACCGACTGAGCAACCCCGGTTTGAAGCAGCATCTTGTAAATTCGATGTTCAAGGGAATTCTTGAACAAAACAAAGATTACCTTCGAACGGAATCGAACCCTGCACCCCTGGTGTTCGAAGCACAACTTACCGTACTATCAAGCCATTTACCATGAATATGCTAAATAATGGTCGACCGAGTAAATCAAAGAAAATTTGTTAATATAACTTTTTCTTCAGTGGGTGTTTTTCATGGCAACAGATTCCTTCGAACTTCTTTGTCATTGTATTCTTTCTTTTTTCTTCTTCCTTTCATTATTGTAGTAGAAACTGAACTATGTTTTTCTCAGTTCAAAGGTTTGTCATGTACTCGAAATAGTCGGCTAATTCGCTGCTGGTAAATGGTGACGTACAGTGTCGTTCATGCCTGTAAAAGGAGACTGCCATATAGATCAGCGAACCAGCCGACTCTAAAGGTCATTGTTTTCATAAGATATATTGATTACAGCTTGCAATAGAAAATAGTTATAACTATACTGTAGTCATGATTCCGACCCGAATTGCAGATGGAATCATTAAATTAGCGATTATAATAAAAAAAATTCATTTAATTTTCATTAACCTGTGACTGGAACAAGTTGCCTAAGGCGCTCCTTGCAGTCTTACCAAATTCATATATTTTAAGTTTATATACTTAGCGTTATGCCAGTGTATGACCTTCAGTTTAACAGTTCGAAATGAGGGTCATCGATGACTATCTTCAGGCCAGGTCACAGGTGCAAGTTTGTGGAGATTAAATAAGTGTACCGAAGATAGAATACTATTTAACCGAAATTTGTTTCCAGTCTACTGCAAGTCCTACTATAGTAGTGCTTTTGGCCTGTGATAATGACACAGTCGGACACAGTCGGTGAAAGGTTTCGGGTTTAGTCGAAAAAGCGAAACCGCGAGTGAGTGGTGATTTATTTTTTTGCTATTCCTACGTAGTTCAATGATAGCCCAAAGCAGAAAGATTTT